AAAAAGGCAAGTAAACTTAGATAAAGATACGTTATATGATTAAATAGAAGGTACACGAATTTGGAAGGAATTGTGATAGAGCTCAACATTGTACCAAAGATAATAGTGAACCAACTTCTTAAGAGCTGATGGGAAAATTTCAATTACTATGACTTAGAAATCCATTCATGCATTTCTTCTCTACTGTACGGGTAAAGACAATAGTTGAATGTTTTCTTTTGACTTAACTAATAATTAAGTCTCAAGATATGAGTCATCATTGACTTGATGACAGTGAGTTTGATTTTTTTTTTAAAGCATGAACTGGAGTCCCTGATTAATACAAACAGTTAAATGCTTAGTTATTAACCATAAGGTTGGTGGTTCAAACCCACCCAGAGGCTCCTCTCAATAGAAGAAAGGCCTTACAGGCTCCTTTCTAAAACTCAGTTATGAAACAGTGCCCTGTGGAGCACGGTTCTGCCCTGACACACATGGGGTCAATGTAAATGGAACTCAACTGACTCGTTCTGTTTGGTTTGCTGGCTTGTTCGTTTCTAACAGCTTAAAGGAGATCTATCTTTTTCAGGTTCGTTTAGTGTTTGATGTGATCAGCAGTTCAAACCCACCCCTTGGGTATAAGAGGAGTTTGACAGATTGATAGGCTCAGAAACCTTTGTGTAGGGTTGCCTTAAGCGGGTGGTGTGATCATCAGCGCTATGTCAGATTGCGCATCCTTTAGAAACTGGAAGAGTGTTACATTGCAGACATTTAGGAACTTCTCAAAGCTGAGGGCGACGTTTCCCCACTGGGTTCCTCATTGGGCAGTGGCTCGCTCACGGCCAGACGCACAGCGCGGGTTGAATAGCGAAGGTGCTTTTGGCTTCGTGTCCTTTTGGCTGTAGTGTTAGTTTAGAAAAAGCAAATTTCAATGTTTAGTTTAAGCCCTACCTACGCACAGTCTACCTTTTTCATCAGTTTATTGTTTTTTCTTAAAGCCTTCATGAATCCAAGCAATCTTTCTTCTTGATTAATAAGCCAGCTACTTAACGTTTGGTTTTTTGGGTGGTGGTGGGGGATATTTTTGGGCAACAGCATTGATCTTTTAAAAAACAGCATGTGTTGCTTTCTGTCATTTTGTGAATGGCAGGCATCTGATAAATGTGGACAAGGAAGTGGGCAGTACAGACTTACATTGGACAGAAGAATATTCTCAGTGGTCATGTTTAGGTCAATGAAAAAGAGGGATTTCATTACCATCAAGTCAATGTGGATTGGTATTTGATTTTTGTTGGATGAAAGGCACCATATTAGGGGGATTTTATGGTCCAGGGTAAAGTTTATTCTGCCTTTCTTTATAATCATCCACCTTAGTGATTAATTCGCTAAGGAGATCCATGAATACTTTAGCAGTTCATTCCTTATATTGTGACCGAGCTAAGATTTCACTGGCCACGTAGGCACTCTAGAACATGTTTTTGCCCATTTATGGTTCTTTTAGAGATTAGAAATGACAGGAGGTCATCGTGGTTCGCATCACTTGTTAGCAATGACAGTACCAGTAACAACCAGTAGACGGTATGAATTCCATTAAATGTAAACCACCTGATCTCTCAACTTAGCAGCAAACATTTGATGTCTACTGATTTTGGATAAATGTTTGAAAGTTTTGTGTAAATTTTAGACAAAACAGGAAACTCAGTTAAGTAAACATTAAATAGAGATCGTACCTATCTTAGTACAGGGTTTCATTTTGACATCTCTCTCGCAAGTCAATTCTGATCTAAGCTGAATACTTTTTTCGTTTGTGTTTATTATTATCGGTGTTTATAATCAGTGTCTTTTAAAATTCAGTCTTCATTTGTCTTTGGGATTGAAAACAATATACATATATTTGCAGATATTTTAACCAGATATTTTAACTGGTACTGTCAGTGCAAACAACTAATGGTAGCCAAGATGACATTCTGTCATTTCTAATGCGTGCAATATATCAAACCAACAATAAGATGTAAAAGTGAAAAACAGTAGATGAGCATCAAGTGTGATCAATCATGATTCTTAATAGGTTCTAAGGGACTACCTTAGTCTACATGTG